TATCACTTCTAACTTTTTGGGAATTAATTAGAGATCATAATCTCACAGACTTTCCTGCTGGGGTTGGCTTTTTGTTGTTGTTGGTGGTGGTCATGGGGCTTGAACTCTAGACCTGGGCACTGTCCCTTAGCTCTTCAGCTCAAGATGAGCACCCTACCACTTGAGCCACAGCTCCACTTCTAGTTTTCTGGTGTTTTAATAGAGATAAGAGTCTCATGGACTTTCCTGCTCAGGCTGGCTTTGAATTGTGATCCTCAGATCTCAGCCACCTGACTAGCTAGGATTACAGGAATGAGTCACCAACACCCAGCTTCCTTTCTCATAACCTACCAAGCCAGGTACTGATGACTCATATATGTGATTAGCCTAGCTACTTAGGAGGCTGAGATTGAAGACTGAGATTTGAAGCCAGCCCTGGTGGGAAAGTCTGTGAGACTCTTAAAAAAGCTGGAAGTCAACGTGTGGCTTAAGTGGTAGAGTGCCAGCCTTGGGTGAAAAAGCTAAGGGGCAATGTCCATACCCTTAGTTCAAGCGCCAGAACTAGCACCATTAAAAAACTAACAAAATAAATTAAGCAAGCATACTATTTTCTTGCCTAGCACAGGCAGTGTGGCAAGGCAAGGTGGAACTGGGCTGGGCATCCCACATCCTTTTTTTTTTTTTGGTGCCAGTCCTGGGGCTTGAACTCAGGGCCTGGGCACTGTCCTTGAGCTGCTTTTGCTCAAGGCTAGCACTCTACCACTTGAGCTACAGCGCCACTTCTGGCTTTTTCTGTATATGTGGTATTGAGGATTGAACCCAGGGCTTCATGTCTGCTAGGTAAGCACTCTCCTCCTAGGCCACATTCCCAGCCCTGGCTAATCTTCAGTAAGGGTCTTATGGACTTTTCAGCCCAAATGGCTTCAAACCTGGATCCTCAGATCTCAGCCTCCTGAATAGCTAGGATTAGTGATGTGAGCTGTGGACACCTGCCCATCATCTCATAATCATGATTCTGTCTCTTTTCTCACCAATAGCCTCAGCCAGGCTGGCAGCCTCCAGCAACTGGCCCCATGTGAGTAGCTGGGATTCTTGGTGTTGGGGAGGAAGGTTAGCCAAGAAGGGAAGGGGCATTCTGCACCCCAAAGGAAGGGCTGGATTGGTTCAGAACAAAGACCCTTCAGAATGTCTCTGGATTCCCTATAGGACCCTCAGGAGCTGGTTGCAGCTGGTGATGTGGATGCCAGGCCCAAAAAGATGGAAAAGGAATCTGTAGCTGGTGGGAGCCGAGGATCAGGAAAGGAGACAATGAGAGCTGGAGCGAGTGAGTTTACAGCCAGCATGAGTGAGGTGGGGGTGTGCCAGGACTGGTATGGAGAGCAGCCTGGGGTTGGGTCCTCAAATTTGAGGGACTTAGGGGCAAGGTGGAGGAGGATTCTGGCTAACTCCAGATGTAACATACAGTGACTACTGAGTACACCAGCCATCATGCCACACTTGGGGGCATCTCCTGATGCTATACCCAAGCATTGTTCATTGGGACCCAGGTACAGCCATATGTGGCCAACAGCTGTAATGTGTTTTTTCTTTTCTTTTCTTTTGCTTTTGCCAGTCTGGGGCTTGAACTCAGGGCCTGGGCACTGCCCCCAAGCTTCATTTGCTCAAGGCTAGTACTCTACCACTTGAGCCACAGCACCACTTCCAGCCTTTTCTGTTTATGCGGTACTGAGGAATTGAACTCAGGGCTTCATGTGTACTAGGCAAGCACTCTCCCACTAAGCCACTTTTCCAGCCCAAGGTGCAATGTTGCAGGTCACCTGTTGCCCCCTGCACTTGGGAAGCCAGCACTTTGGGGACCAGTGAGTAGTTCACACTTGCCTTGCAGCTCCCCGCAGTGGCCCCACACGCAAGAAATCACAGACTGCGCCACCTTTGCAGCCACCACCGCCACCACCACCAGCCCTGAGCGCGGAACTACCCTGGGGAGATCTGTCACTCAACAAGATCCTGGTACTAGCCTCACTGGTGGCTCTGTTGGGCTCAGCTTTCCAGCTGTGCCGAGGTGAGCCTGGCCTCCCCCAGAGATGGGGTGGGGTTAGGACTGGCCTGTGTGTCCACTGCTCCAGGAAAGGTCCTTAGACACACTATGGGGGGGGGGGCGGTGTCTGTGCGCCTTCTCTTCAAGGACTGAGTCCTGCACATACTGACCTGAGGCCACCCACACCTTTCCCTTTCCTTAAACCTTACATGCCCCCCCCTCTCCATCCTAAACCTTTCACTGGGGACCTGTGAATAGGCTGTAATCATTTACCATTTGGGGGGCCTCATTCACCCCCAAGGTCAATTCTGGGCTTTCTTGGTACTTTGCATGGGTCTCTCTTGCTTTCAGCAAGACTTGTACATCACATCCCCTTTATCCCAGCGTGGGCCTTATGAACAGCCCCCCATCCCCTTCCTTTGTAGTGTGTGGAATTCCCGGTGCTGCTTTCCTCCTCCTCCTCCTCCTCTTCCTTTTCCTTCCTCCCTCCTCCTCCTCCTCTCGCTCTTCCTCCTCCCCTCCTTCCATCTCTTCCTCCCTCCTCCTTTTCCTTTTTCCCTCCTCCCTCCTCCTCATCCTTTTTCTTTTCTTCTTTTGGCTTCAACTCAGAGCCTAGGTGCTTCTAGATTTTGAGTGGTTAATTGGAGATGAGTCTCAGAAACTTTTCCTACCCAGGCTGGTTTTATCCTCAGATCTCAGTCTCTGGAGTAGCTAGGATTACAGGTGTGAGCTACCCAGCCTCTCCAAAGGATCCAGAACAAAGGCTTTTTACCTAGGAAACAATGAGGCCCAGAGGGGAGAGGGGCTTTCTCCATTAGGGATCCAGAGAAGGTGTCAGTGATCACTTTGGGGAGGGGTTTGGCAGGGGGCAGAGGCTGCTTCATCTGTCCCCTGGGAGGAGAGCCTAACTGGGGGGAGGGGGGGAGAGAGAGAGAGAGAGAGAGAGAGGGACAGAGAGGGAGGGAGGGAGGGAGGGACAGAGAGGGAGAGAGGGACAGAGAGGGAGGGAGGGAGGGAGGGAGAGCGCTTGCGCAAGCGCTGGTGAGGTCTGTCCCCTCCCCCAGGCTAACCCACTTTCCCACCCTGCTCCTCAGACGCTGTGGTTGGGGAAGCTGCTGTTCCCACACCTGCCCAGGAGCCATGGGTCCCACCCAGCTCACCACCCAAAAAGCCAGTGTTGCCACAAGTAAGCACTTCCTTTCTCTGACTGGGGGCTGCAGTGGGGCGCTCATACAGCGGGAATGAAACCAGGCTCTCAAGGAGGTGGGTCCTGACCCCAGTCCCCCTACACTATCCATGTTGCAGCCTAAGCCTGCAGCTCGGGCCCTGCCATCAGAACCACCTGCACCCAAATCGGTGCCCCTCGTGCCCCAGGTGGAGGTAGAGGACAAACCTGAGGTTCCCCAGGCTGCAGAGATCACTGAGGAGGAGCAAACTTCCCTCGGCCACCAAGAGCCGCTAAAAGAGGAGAAGCCGAAAAAGGAAGAGCAACTGAGGAAGAAGCAGCTACGGAAGGAGGAGAAACTACGGAAGGAGGAGAAGCCACGAAAAGAGAAGCCTCGAAAGGAAGAGAGGCCACAAAAAGAGAAGCCTCGAAAGGAAGAGAGGCCACGAAAAGAGATGCTGTGGAAGGAAGAGAGGCCACGAGCCTCCAGAGAGTCCCGGGAAGCCCTGCCCCAGCATTGGGAAGCAAGGGAAAGGGGACATCGGCCATGGACTAGGGACTCCAGGGATCCCAGAGACTCCAGTCAGAGGAAGAAACACACTTGGGCCTCCCCACACCACCGACAGGAGGAAGAACAACAGAAGCACCGCAAGGGTAAGGGGCGGGGCTGAGCCTGGGTCCCAAGCCCGGATCCCAGAACCCTGCTGTGGCTGTCACAAAATACATTTTATGATGCCCACAAATTTTATTTTGCTCCAGCAAAATAAAGTGTTGAAAAATACTGTGTTGCTAACCTTTTTTTTTTTTCCTTCCAGTCCTGAGCCTGAATGCTTTGCCAGTCCTGGGCTTAGATGCTGTGCCTGAGTTTTTTTTGCTAAAGGCTAGTGTCTACCACTTGAGCTCCACTTGCAGCTTTTTGTTGGTTATTTGGAGATAAGAGTCTCACAGAGCCAGCCAGGTGTGGGTGGCTTACACCTGTAATTCTAGCTACCTGAGATCTGAGGATCACAGTTCAAAGTCAGCCCAGGCAGAAAAGTCCCCTAAAGACTTTTTTTTTTGGTTGTGGGGCTTGAACTCTGGGCCTGAGTGCTGTCCCTGAGCTCTTCAGCTCAAGGCAAGAGCCCTACTACTTGAGCCACAGGGCCACTTCCGGTTTTTCTGTTGATTAATTGGAGATAAGAGTCTCATGGACTTTCCTGCCCAGGCTGATGTTGAACCTGGATCCTCAGATCTCAGCCTCCTGAGTAGCTAGGATTACAGGTGTGAGTCACCAGTGACAGGTTCCCATAAGACTCTTATCTCCAATTAACTACTCAAAAGCCAGAAGTGGCTCTGTGGCTCAAAGTGGTAGAGAGCTAGCTTTGAGCAAAAGAACTCAGGGACAGAGCCCAGGCTATGAGTTCAAGCCCCACAAATGACAAGGAAAAAAAAGTTTCACAGACTTTTTCTGCCTGAGCTGGCTTTGAACCAGTATCCTCAAATCTCAGCCTTCAGAGTAGCTAGGATTACAGGCGTGAGCCACTGACAGACACCTGGCTAGCTAACTCCTTTATGCCTGAACACAAGGCTTGAATGATGGGGATGGAAAGCTACTGGCTAGGAAAACTGTCAGCAAGCACCTACAGCAGTGATGGAGCTCTACCCTGGAGAAGACAGAAGGCAAAAGGGCTCCCATACAAGCACAGACAACCCAGCTGGGTGCTTGCTGGTCTTTATTGGGGTGATGCTTAGAGTCTGAATAAATATATGAGAAGGGTATTCATTGGCTGGGGCACGTCTGGCCTCCCCCTGGGCACAGAAGTCTGTGGGGTTCGAGGGTCACCGGCAGCCACACTCAGTGGCCACCATGTTGGGCACATGGTGCGCACTGATGCGCTCCTCGGACAGGCTGATGAGGAGCTTGCCCGCATAGGCAGTGGGCACGCAGCAGGGCGGGCGTGCCAAGGAAGCCCCGCGGGCCTGCATCTTCAACAGCAGCACTACGTGGTTTCCATAGTGCGGATTTCGGTCGGACTGCGGCCAGCCGCACGTACCCTGGCAGTTGTTGGCCTGATAGGTTTCCGGGATGAGCACGGAGCGCTCCGCTCGGAGGTCCACACTCAGTTCCCGCAAGGAGCAGGGCCCCTCGCTGACACCCCTGGCTGGGGCTCCAGCGCTCCGCTGCGCTCGCCCCGCCCTGCGCTGGTCGCGCCTGCGCCACTCCGTGCGCAAGCCCTGCAGTGCCTTCAACAGTAACAACGCACGCAGGGGGTCCCCGGGGCTGTCGGGGTCGCGGGATTGGCCAGGATCACCCGGGCACAGCGTGAGCAAGCGCGCCAGCAGTGGAGGTGCAGCTGGAGGCAGCCCAGGGAGGCCCCGCAGCTCAGCGGCTGCCGCCTGTAGCTCTACAGCCACCCGGCGTGCCAGACCTGAGGTCCAGGGCGCCGATGTGGGGCCACGAAGCGGCTCAGGATCCCCGGTAGTGGCTGCAGCTTGGGGGAGCAGCACCAGCAGCGGTTCCTCCCTGTTGAGCAGGCGTTCCAGCGCTGCGGGGTCCGATAGGTTGACCAAGCCCTGCGGGAAGCTGGCTAACACTGCTGGGTCCAGAGCCAGGCGGGGTGGCCAGGCCTGGGCCGAGGATCCCCGCAGTGCGCGCACCAGGCGCGTGAGCGTCTCCAGGAAGGGGTCGCTGCTGAGCGGCAGTTCCTCTGACTGGGAGAAAAGCCTGGAACAGCAGTAGTGGGCATAGTGAGGGGAAGAAGCTGTGCTGACCTCCAGCCCCCATCTCCTTTGCTCATATTCCGGGCCTGCGCGCACCTGGGCTGTGGAAAGGGCATGATGTCCAGCTGGCGGTGCGCGGGCAGCAGGGCAGGCCCAGACATCAAGAGCAGGGCTGGGGTCATCCTTGTGAAACAGCGGACGTCGGAGCCAAACAGCAGGGTCTGCAGCTGGGCAGTGCTCAGGGAGACATCTGTGGAGGGTGGCACAGGGTTGGCTCAGGATCAGTAAGCTGCAAGCAAGCCACCTGCTGCCCAGTCCCTTCCCCTTCCACATAGGCATACCGTCTCCACGAGTTCGAAGGCTCAGGGTGAGCCCAGGGCCATGCCAGGCCCCTGCCGGGTGGTTCACAGCCAATACCAGATAGCGTGTGTCTTGGGTGGGGCAGAAGCTCTGTGGAAATGGTGACTCAGCCAGGCTGGATGAGGATGGTCATGCCCAGCCCAGCTTCCCACCCCTTCAAAATTCTACACTTGGAGCCTTTTCACTAAATGCAGACCTTAGGAAAAGCCCAACACCTCTCCCCTGCATAGAGGACTTCTAGCAGCCCAGGCAACTCCCAAGTACCTGAATGCCCTGCAGCCCGGTCCCAGTGACAGTGACCTCGGGACCAGGCCCAGGATACAGCACCAGCAGTGCTTGCTCCATGGGGCTAGCTTCTCCAAGTGGGGGCTCCTGGAATCTCAGTGACAACGTGGGCTCCCAGGTCACTGCAGCCAGGACAAGGGGACAACATAAGCCAGTGGCCAGTAACTCCCCAAGCCCATCCTGAAGGGAGAGCCCCTCCCCAGCTGGAGCATTCCAGAGCCCAGTGCGGCTAAAGCTGTCTGATCCTGCTGGTCTGAACCAAGGAGGATACCTTACCTGAAGGGACAGAGGCCCATCTATGCCATCCTCTTGTGGCCAGAAAATAAGTGAGCTTGGCGGTGGTAATGGGTGACAGTAGCAGGATGGGGATTGCCCTCTTTACCTTTAGGTTGATTGGCTCTGGAGTTCCAGGCCCATTCCTACTTTGTGGGCCTGCTAGTCTGGTTCCTGGCTGCTTCTATGGGAACCAGCCCAGGGACTTCCAGTTCCCAGACACAGCAGAGATAACTTGCTGCTTCCTTGGCAGAGACCCACAGCCCAGTTGCTGGGTCTGGCCTTGGAACCACAGGAGGCAATGGGCCTTGGTAAAGGCTCCACAGCACTCCATCTTACTTGGGAGGATCCTTCTTTTAATGTGAGTGCTGCTGAGTGAATGGAGCCACTGGGCCTTTCACGTACCTTCAGCCAGGTGCAGGATCAGCAATCGCTGCCCTCTAGGGTCCCCCAGCCAGGACCCCAGGTGCTGTAGGACAGGCAGAGTAGCTTGCGAGTCACTGGAGCTACAGACCCCAAAGGTGGCCAAGTCTAGGGCTCCCCATCGGGCCACCTGCACAGCCTCTAAAAAGGTCTGTTCATAGGTGCTCAGAGACCCCACCACCTGTAGAGGGTCTTTGCTCTTGTTGGCCTTGCTCAGGGTCACCAGACACAAGGGGTCCAGGAGGCTCCCTGCTGGCCAGACCCAGTCCTTGTGGAAGACAAGGCCCCCAGTGCTGGTAGTAGACTCCTCTTCAGGGATCTTAGTTCCCAGTACAATCCCCATAGTAAACAGCAGCAGGACCCACTGAGTAAGAGGCTGATGCAGCATCATGGTGTTGAAGGACTAGGCAGGAACACGTTTATATGGTAGACACAGTATCTGGAGGGGGAGGGAATGACCTTGGGGGACAGTGTAGTGCCCCACTGGGCGCCTGGACAGGTGGGTGGCAGTCCTCTCAAAGGGCTTTCTGTTCCCGGCAGGCCACCTATCTCTTAACAGAGCCGGGCCTGTGATCACACTGGCCGGAGGTGTCCTTGAGGATCCCTCCTAGAACTGTAAACTGGGGGTGGGGCAGGTGTCCCAGGCAGATCTCTTGCCTTGGAGTTCGTATCATAGGCTGGACAGGCATGGCTGGAGGACAGAGTGCCAGTCCAGCTCACAAATCCATCTCTGTGGCCCAAGTTCAGGCCCCAGGCCTGAACACCCAAGAGAACATCCCAGGAACCTTCCTAGTTTGGGATAGTCGGAAAGGTCCCCATTGTCCTATGAGCCATCTGCAGTGCTCCTAGCCGTTGTCAATTCTTCCCTGAGGATTCAGCCTTCCACCCCACCATAACCCATAGCCACACATCAGTCCACTGCAGACATGGGGAGGCTGTTTACTGGGCTCCAGCGACAGTACAAAATACAAAAGCTTGCAGTGTCTCCATGGGAAAATAGGGAAAACAAAACCAGACTCACAACGTGGGGCATTTTTCAGTTGGTTGGGGGAGGAGGGGGAATGTTCCCAGGGCCTTCGGTGGGGAGTGGAGGCCTCATCATGGGAGGCATGGGAGTTGGAGGGTGCACCCCAGGATTTGAGGGGTGAACCCCAGGAGGCTGAGGGTGTACTCCAGGAGCAGCAGGGTGAACCCCAGGAGGTTGAGGGTGTACTCCAGGTGCCTGTGGGTGAATCCCAGGGGCTTGTGGGTGCACCCCAGGAGCCTGGGGGTGAACTGCAGGAGCAGGATGCACCCCAGGGGCCTGGGGGTGAACTCCAGCTGATGGAGGAGCGTGGACCCCTGGGGCTGGTGGATGGACTCCTGGGGCTGGTGGGTGGACCCCAGGGGCTGGTGGGTGGACCACTGGAGCAGGGGGGTGGACCCCAGATGTGGGGGGGTGGACCACTGAGGCTGCGGGGTGGACTCCAGGCGCTGAAGGGTGGACTCCGGGAGCAGGTGGATGGACCCCAGGAGCAGCTGGGTGGACCCCAGATGTGGGAGCATGGACCACTGGGGCTGGGGGATGGACCCCGGGAGCTGGTGGAGGCAGCTGGGGAGGTCCCGGGGGTCCAGAGGGTGCAGGCCCGGTGGGGGGCATAGGGGGTAAAGGAAGGCCTCCTGGTGGAGGTGGAGGCAAAGCCTCTGGTAGTGGAGGCCGGGGGGGCAAGCCATTCATCAGCGGAGGTGGGGGCCGCTTCACACCTGGGGGCCCTGCAGGAAGGCTGGGTGGTGCTGGAGGCTTCTCCATCTTGAAGTGGAACTGGAGAAAAAACTAAGAGACACGAGAGGGTTTAGTGTGGGTTTAGTTTAGTACATGGCCCCATGGGGATGCTTCAGAATGCCCATGCCCTACAGCTAACCTGCTTGGTCTCCTTGTTCCAGTGGGTCCAGAACTTGCCTTCTGCCTTGTCGATCTCCCTGCTGGGCACCTGAAATATAAAGGAAGCCACAAGAAGTCTTTAGGACCCCATGGCCTATAGCTGTAGGCCTTTTTATGCGGGAAGTTTTTTTTTGTCGGTCGTGGGGCTTGAACTCTGGGCCTGGGCGCTGTCCCTCAGCTCTTCAGCTCAAGGCGAGCGCTCTACCACTTGAGCTACAGCGCCACTTCTGGTTTTTTGGTGGTTTATTGGAGATAGGAGTCTCACGGTCTTTCCTGCCCGGGCTGGCTTTGAACCTCGATCCTCAGATCTCAGCCTCCTGAGTAGCTAGGATTACAGGTGTGAGCCACCAGCACCCGGCTTATGCGAGAAGTTTAATCTTGGTTGTTTATCAACTGATCTATGTTCCTTTTTTGAGACAGGATCTTATGCAGCCCAGGCTGACCTGAAAGTCTTGATCCTTCTGCCTCTGCCTCCTGAGTGCTGGGATAACAGGAGTGTGCCACTATGCTCAGCTCTTGCTGTAATGTACTAATTCAATGGAGACACAGGAGATAAGACTCACGGATGAAGTAATGTGGCCAAAGGCCTCACAGATCCACAGACTTTAATACTGGTCTTTTTTTTTTGGGTCATGGGGCTTGAACTCTGGGCCTGGGAGCTGTCCCTTGAGCTCTTCAGCTCAAAGTGAGTGCTCTACCACCTGAGCCACAGTGCCACTTCCAGCTTTCTGGTGGTTAGTTGGAAATAAGAGTCTTGTGCACTTTTCTGCCCAAGCTGGCTTTGAACCACAATCCTCAGATCTCAGGCTTCTGAGTAGCTAGGATTACAGGCCACTGGTGCCCAGCTGGTCCTCATTTTTCATGGACACCATGGAGCCAAAGGCAACACCCTAAGATGAAGGTTCATGCTGGAGACATCCCCAGTCTGAAGTGGGAACTGGCTGCCAGTTACCCTGTGCAGCACCCTCTCACAGGGGACTTCAGTGACATTACCTTGAAGGCGATGGTCTCATAGGGCTCAGCGGCCATCAACAGATACTGCCAGCGTCGGTCTGGAGGCTCAATCCTCTGCTCATAGGCAGACATGAAGCGGTGACGGGGCATGATGCCCTCAGCAATTTCAGGGTAATCGATCTGAGGGGACACAGCCAGTTTTAGCGCTGCCTTAGGGGTATGTTTAGGGCCCCCCTTTTTGCTCAAGATCTTGCCCTGTCTTACCTGGAACAGGAGGCTCTGCTGGCCCATCTCAGTGTCCCTCTGTTTGGTCACTGCAACACAAGGCTTAGTTCAAGGGATTTATATTCCCAGAGCCAAAGGCCTTGGGGTGGTATAATATACACACTCAACAAAGGGGGAGAAGGATCTGGGGAGTTCCTGGCTGGCAATAATGAAGGGACAGGGCTGGGAAGGTGGCTCAGTGGTAGAGTGCTTGCCTTGCATGCATAAGGCCCTGGGTCTGATTCTTCAGCACCATATAAGCAGAAAAAGCCAAAAGTGGCACCGTGGCTCAAGTGGTAGAGCGCTAGCCTTGAGCTGAAGAGCTGAGGGACAGCACCCAGGCACAGAGTTCAGGCCCCATGATGGACAAAAAATAAAATAAAATAATGAAGGGACAGGACATACGGGGTTTGGAGCTCATGTGACTGATTACTATGGTGGGCAACAGAATATGAGCTCTCCTTTGTTCTGCTCCCAGAAACTCTAAAGACAAGACCACTACCCAACAGGAAATTTCTCTGCACTTGGACCTGGTGTCAGGCTTTCCCATCACCACTGGATGCTGAGTACATCCAGGAAGGTCAAGTGCAGCCAACCTGAATGGCTAGCCCTGTGTTTGGAGACAAGCAGGAAGGAAGCTCTGCTTGTGTCCTTAACAGTTGCTGAAAGTAGTGGTCTCCCACTGGATCCTGCTACTCCTGTGGGCCCATGTGCACCAGGCAGGTCCGCCCCAGGGCTAGTCCATCCCCACCACCTCCTGCGGAGCGCCTTCAGTTCCCACCTGGCTACTTACCCAGCTTTCTGCCCCAAGTCACCCAACAGCACTCACTAATGGACCTGTTAGACAAGCTATTCCTCCTTCTCTACTTTTTCTTTTCTCCTGAGGTTACCTGGAGCTAGCACCCAGGTTCAACTGAAGAAAAAGGGGTTGCTACAGGTAAGAGGCAGGGTACTTACTGGCCGCTCGCCAGTTCCTGGCAGCAGCGATGGCTGTGGGTGAGGGGAAGACTGCTGTGTGAAGGTCAAAGAACAGTAGCTCTGTGTGGCCCAGGGTGCAAAGAGCTCATTCATGTCCAAGGCAGCTGTGGGCTGGCTGCCTGCCTGTCCCATAGACATACCTTTGTAACCGGGGCGGCCAATCTTCACAAATTTCTTTACCTCCACCTTGACCTTCTCTGGTGCTGGCTGAGCAGGGGCTTCCTTGGCCTCTTTGGCCGCACGCCGAGCCCTACAGGCAGAAAAGACATGGTGATACAGCCCCTCCACCCAGGCCACCAAGGCCACCGGCCGAGGTGCCAGAGCCCCCACAACCTTGGAGTTCACTCCAAGTAGAGGAATAAAAACAAGAGGGTTGAAACAAAGCTACAGTAAGGCAGCAGAAGTAAAAACACTTTCCCAGTCCCACCTCACCTCTCTGGCTCACCCAAGAAGTTAACATCAGGGAGAGCACACCCATACTTGGGTGGGGGATCCAATCCTCTCTTCCATGCCCACCCATCCATGAAGGGTGCCAGTAATAGCCCAGGGTGGCTTCACACCCTCTATACATACTACATGGCATCCCATTGAGGAGAGGGAGGTACTCACAAGTTGGTCTGATGCTTCTTCCCCTGAGTATGTGCGAGGTAACTCCCCTGAAGAAGGAAAGGAAACACACATGACCCAGAGGGCCTTCTGCATGGGATGGCCTACAATCCCTGGCTGATCAGGAAATAGGTTAGCAGAGCTGGTGACAGGTCAGTAAACCTGGGCTAGGCCCTTCAAATAGTAAAGCTGAGAACTCACCTCATTGTTGTGAAGTGTAAGGCAAAGCTTACATTCATAAGATCCCAGGTGGTTTTTCATAAAATATGGGTCCTGGGAAGGGAATAAATCCTTGTTAGTACAAGATATGGTCCCAGGGTCAGGTCCCTCTGGGACCTGCCTAGTCCCTAAACCCCATGCCCAGACAAAGTCAAGCCTGGGGGGAGCCTGGCTCTCCCTAATGGTACTAGTTTTGGTGTTTCTGAGACCTGGTCTGTGGCCCAGTGGGAGCATCCCCAGCAAGAAGAGAGAAGAGAAAAAGAGGCCTAACTCACCTTGTTGATGTCGATTGTTTCTAAGGCTAGCTGTCGCAGGCGCTCCCGCCGGTCCCTGTTGCTCTCAGAAGAGGAGGCAACACCTCCACTGCCAGTCTTACCCCCGGGTCTATGCTGGAAGTCCATGGTGAAGGCTTTAGGGCTTTAGGAGACAGGGGAGAAACCTGTAGAAATAAAAAAGAGAGCGAGCAATAAGGACCATGGAGTGGCCAGGCATGAGCCAAGTATGAGGCCATCCATGGAAGTTTAACCAACCCCCAAGGCCTATTGCAGGCCAGACACAGAAACAAGGATACTGGCACTTATCCGCAGAAACTCCCATCTAGATACTTAATGATTCCTAAGTGACCATGGAAAGAAGGCAGTTACTGTAGGCCATCAAATGAAAAGCCTGAGATCAGAAATGACAAGACACAAACAGGGAAGGTGAGGCCAGTTCTTGCCAACAAACTTCACCACTTCCAGGAAGCCTTCCTAGATGGATCCTAGATTGCCTCCTGCTCCGAATTCACTTCTTAGATGACTACATGTTCCACAATCTGACATATTTTTCTAGACTGCTATATATTTGCTGAAGGCCAGGAAGATATCCATGTCTGGACCTCCACTGTCTGACAAACAAGATACATTCAAGAATCATTTGTAGCTGGGTACAAGTGGCTTACACCTATAGTCCTAGCTACTGGTTGAGATCTGATGACTGAGATTCTGACAACAAATCTTGAGACTTTTATCTTCACTTAACCAGCAAAAATTCCCCCCACCCGCCCAGAGACCATATGTAGCCCAAGAAGGCTTTCCTGAACCCTTCAAAATCTTTTCCATGCCTCTGGGTTCTTTCCTCCCACATTCTCTCAGGCTCAATCAAACCCAACCTCCCAGAAGCATTCCATGACCACCCAACACTGTGGACTTTTATCTTTAACATCTGACCCAGGTGCTTGGTTTAAAACCTAGGGGGTTCAGATGCAGGGCCCAGAGCAAGTGAAGGACAGCCACTTAAGACATCTTTGTCTTCTTTCCCAAAACCTGTTAACAGCCAGGTGCTGCTGGCTCATGCCTATAATCCTAGCTACTTAGGAGGCTGAGAACCAAAGGAACTGTCTGAAACCTGTCCAAGCAGAAGAGTCTTGAGATTCCATATCCAATGGGTAGCTCAAATTGTAAAATACCAAGTGTGAGGTGAATGCAAGGCCCTGATTTCAAGCTACAGTGATGACATAAAACAAAAATCCTATGACTAAAATAATGTACAGATGTGATCAAGGATCTTGACATGGTGATCATCTGTGCCCAATGTCATCATCACAGGGCCCTACTCCAGATTGGGAGAAACTGTGCTGCGACTCTCAATGAGGAGAAAGGAGCCTTGAGCTGAGGGCTATGGCCCACTGGAAGCTGGGACAGGTAGGATACTGATTGTCCCTAGGACCTCAGGAAGAACCAGCCTATGGACTCATTTTATACCCAGCCAAATTTCTAAATAAATCCACATTCAGATAACAAAGAGCTCAAAACTAGATAGTCAGCTACTTCTACAAGAGCTACCAAGTTTAAGACATGCTCTGACATAACAATGCATTGGCTAGGGCTGGGAATGTGGCTTATTGGTAGAGAGCTTACCTAGCATGCATGAAGTACTGGGTTTGATCCCTCAGTACCACATAAACAGAAAAAGCCAGAAGTGATGCTCTGGCACAAGTGGTAGAGTGCTAGCTTTGAGCAAAAGAAGTTCAGGGATAGTGCCCTGGAACCCAGGCCCTGAGTTCAAGTCCTAGGACTGGCAAAAAACAAAACAACACAGCAACAAAAGACCACAATGTATTGGCTTCCTTAAAAACGGAAGACTGCCCAGGAAAGCAGTAGCTTAGCATCCTTGAGCAGAACAGTCAGTCCCACCCACACAAAATGCAAATGACTAAGCTGGGTCCCAGTGGTTTACTCCTGTAATCCTAGCTTCTCAGGAGGGTAAGATCCCAGGATCACCGTTCAAACCCAGCTCATGCAGGAAAGTCCATGAAACTCTTTTATCTCCAATAAACCATCAGAAAACCGGAAGTGGCAGTGTGCTCAAGTGGTAGAGTGCTTGCCTTGAACTGAAGAGTTCAGGGACAGTGCTCAGGCCCAGAGTTCAAGCCCCATGACTGACAAAACAGAACAAACCAAACCACGAAATGCCAAGAGAAGAGCTAGGGCAAGGAAGTCTGTGACACAACTGGGGCTTGAACTCAGGGCCTGAGCTTCTTTTCCTCAAGACTAGCACTCTACCACTTGAGCCACACCGCCACGCTGTATATGCAGTATTGAGGAATTGAACCCAGGGCTTCATGCACGCTAGGTAAGCACTCTACCTTTTTTTTTTCCTGGTCGGTCATGGGCCTGAACTCTGGGCCTAGGCACTGTCCCTCAGCTCTTCAGCTCAAGGCTAGCACTCCACCACTTGAGCCACAGCACCACTTCTGGCTTTTTCTGCTTATGTGGTACTGAGGACTCGAACCCAGGGCCTCATGCATGCAAGGCAAGCACCCTACCACTGAGCCACCTTCCCAGCCAGCACTGTACCTTTAAGCCACATTCCCAGCCCAACAGTTGAGTTTTAAATCAACCTAAAACAAAACTGAATCCTAAAAAACCTAAATTAAAAAAAAAATAGTATAAGCCAGGGGCCAGAGGCTCACACCTGTAATCCTAGTAACTCAGGAGGCTGAGACCTGAGAATAGTGGTTAAAAGCCAGCCCGGGGGGCTGGGAAGATGGCTCAGTGGTAGAGTGCTTGCCTTGCATGCATGAGGCCCTGGGTTCGATTCCTCAGCACCGCATAAGCAAAAAAAGCCAGAAGTGGCACTGTGGCACAAGTGGTAAAGCATTCGCTTTGAGCTTAAGAGCTCAGGGACAATGCCCAGGTCCAGAGCTTAAGCCTCACAACTCTCCCCCCTCCTCCCAAAAAGTACAAATGCTGGGCACTTATGACTCACACCTGTAATCCTAACTACTCAGGAGGCTGAGATCTAAGGATCATGGTTGAAATTGCCTAGGGCAGGAAAGACAGTGAGCCTCTTTGCTCCAATTAACTACCCAAAAAGGGAGTTGTGGATTTAGCTCAGTGGAAGCACACTTGCCTGGCAAGTGCAAGGTTTTGCATTCAGTCCTCAGCTCTGAGGAGAGGGAAACTACCCCAAAAAAGACAAGTGGAGCTGTGGCTCAAGTGGAAAAGGGCTAGAATTGAGGAAGTAAGGATTAAGGACAGCACTCGTGCCTTGAGTTCAACCCCCAGAACTGGCAAAGAAAATAATTAATTTTAAAAATGTGTAGTACAATGATAACCTACCCTCTGATCACATTACTTGGTTTAGCAGTATATTTCCAATCTTAGACATAAAATCAAAGGTTTGATGAACATGAAGGTGAATAATAATAAGGGAGAGGAAGAGGGAGCAGGAGACCTTATCAACTATGCCCAAGAAGTCAACAGATGCCTAAAACCAGAAGCAAATGGCTTAAAGAAAGAACAACAACAAAAAAGACAAGACTAGATGGCTTCCGGACCAGGGAGCACAGATAAAATTAGTTTTTGGTGGAAATACTATGTCACACCTATCGAACGATTATTTTTCTTTTTTTTTTTTGTCGGTCGTGGGGCTTGAACTCTGGGCCTGGGCGCTGTCCCTCAGCTCTTCAGCTCAAGGCGAGCGCTCTCCACTTGAGCTACAGCGCTACTTCCGGTTTTCTGGTGGTTTATTGGAGATAGGAGTCTCACGGTCTTTCCTGCCCGGGCTGGCTTTGAACCGCGATCCTCAGATCTCAGCCTCCTGAGTAGCTAGGATTACAGGCGTGAGCCACCAGCGCCCGGCTTCGAACGATTATTTTTCGAAGCCCCTAGGAGTTCTGTGCTGGTTCTATAAGCTAGGTGGGCAGGCGCCTCGGTCCAAGTGATTCAAGCCCGCTTTCTTGGGGCGCCCTAAGCAAAACGGAACCATAGAACGTTTTGGGTGTCGCCTTGGCCGTTTTACAGTTAAAGGAATAGAGGCGCTTATCTGGGTTAAGGGACCCGCCAAGAGGACTCTCATCCCACCACCCCCGCCCCGCGCAAAGCCCGGGAAAACCTCCAGGAAATGCTGCGGAGCCAAAGGGGGGGACGGACCGGGAGACCTCCAAAGTGGGAATTCCTGCCTCAACCCCACAAGCCCTCCCACCCTCGAAAGAACGGGTTCTGGCGGTGTTAGTGCAGGCCGCCGCAGGCACCACGCTCCCAAACCCGCCCCCTTCCAGCGACCCCCGAGATTCCCCGCCGCCACCCACCTCCACCCCCATCCCCACTACCCCAAGCAGTTTGCTAGCCCCAGTCTCCGACGTCCCTCACCCGGGCCAAAGGCCTCAAACAGCCAAGGCCTTCTCAACGACCACCAGGACTTGGCTTTGCGCAGGCTTACTACGGGCGAAAGAACCAATTCCGGGTCAAATGGAGGCGGAACTTCTTGTGTGCGCATGCCCCACCCGCCCAGTGGCCCGGATGAATGTTTAAGAGCAGGAAGTGGATGGAAGATGCGAGCCCCGGCCGGATCCGGAAATGCGCCTTCACCTGGCGGACTCCCGGCAACAAGGCGGGAATGGCCGGCCTGCAGCGCGCAGGCGCAGTAACCACTGGCGGTACTTCCGGGATGATTCTCTGAGACCTTTGTGGCGCAGACTGCGTTACGAGCGTGGGGGCTGGGGCTAGGGGTGGGGGGCTCAGCGGCCGCGCCCTGTGTTTTCTGGTTCCAGAACCCGGGCCGCGCGATGCGCTATAACGAAAAGGAACTGCGAGCGCTATCCCGGCAGCCAGCAGAAATGGCGGCGGAGCTGGGCATGCGGGGCCCCAAGAAAGGCAGCGGTGAGCCGGCCGGCGGCCGGGGCTGGGGCTCCGGGGCGGGCGGGGGGTCCCGCCACCACGCTGACCCCGCCCTGTGCCTGCAGTAGTCAAGAGGCGGTTGGTGAAGCTGGTGGTCAACTTTCTCTTCTACTTCCGCACAGACGAGGCCGAGGTAGGTAGGGGTCCTGGGAAGAGCGAGAGGGGCCTTGCGTGGGCCAGCGGCCGATGCTCATGGCCGTTGTCTTGTGTAGCCCCTCGGAGCCCTGCTGCTGGAGCGCTGCAGAGTGTCCCAGGAAGAGCCCAGCGCCTTCTCCATCAGTGAGTGGATCCAGACTTCCCTCCTTCCCTCCCCTCGAACGGGAGCCCCTGGACTGGCCACGGGCGGGTCAAGGTCAGGTTCTCGTCTCCTTTGCCCGGCACACCTGTCTTAGCTGTCATTCTCAGGCTCTTCAACTTCGGGTACATCTGCCTCCGCTGTCACTCAAAAATAGCACCAGGACTTTTTCGGTCCTTTGGATGTGAGAGGGCCTTGCCTGGTGGTTCATTTCTTCCCACCTCCAGTGCCTGCCCCGGATGCTGGGCGACTAGGAATGTTCTACCAGGGTAGATGAGGTCTCAGCCCGTCTTCTAGGGCTGCCATTAAAGATTCAGTATTGCGACTTCGGTGGCTTAAATATCAGAAAACCTCTAGATTCTGGAGGCCAGAGACAAGGTGTGACTCCAGTCAAGGTGAACTCTATCCCAAACCTAGCCCCCATATTAGAGTTTCTTAGCTTGAGGTTTCACCCACTCCCACCTCTGCCTTCATCTCCACAGCATTCTCCTTATCTGTGTGGGTGTTTGCATGTTTCTCCTATATAAACACAGCAGTCCAGTGTCCTCCCCAATGATCTCATCTTAATTCTATGTTGAAAAGCCCTGCTTCACATCAGGCTGCCCTCAGGTTCTAAGGTGTGGCGGTGTGGTGCAGATGAGCCTGTGAGGGAGCCAGAGGAGGGGCAGTTTTGGGGCCTGGAAAGAGGATATTGGTACTGGCCAGCAGGGTGGGGACCAAATGGTCAGAGAGCAGAAGCAACTCCCTCCCTCTTCCCCATTCTCCTTTGCAGGCTTTTTGGAAGACCCAGAGAGGAAGTACCACTTTGAGTGCTGCGGTCAGGAGCAGTGTCAGGCATGGGTGGAGGCCCTGCGGCGGGCCAGGTGGGGCTCGGACAGCCTGGAGGGTAGGGCACAATAGCTATGAGAGGGTGGAATTGGGAACCTGACACAACAAATAAGCACCGTTGTCTTCCCCAGTTATGAGTATATGCGGAAAAGCCTCATCTTCTACAGGAATGAGATCCAGAAGATGACAGGCAAGGTATGTGCAAGGCTGGAGGTAAGAAGGGCAGCCTTCTTATTCCTAGTTAATGCCACCTGTCCACTTCCACAGGATCCACTGGAGCAGTTCGGCATATCCGAGGAGGCCAGGTTCCAGCTGACTGGCACACCAGTGGATGGGTGGTCCTGCATTGGCTCCAGGCTAGATGCACTGGACTGACCTTCCACCAAGGCCTCTGCTTTGGATTTCTGGATGCCTGGGTCTGTGATGGGAGTTGTTCGAGGGCTGAGTGGGGGCGAACAGGGGCTATAGGGTTTAAGAGAAACAGCTTAGCAAGCACCCCTGCCCTGGTGCCTTGGAGCCACCTGACAGGTCTGGCATTTTTGTGTATGTGCTGCTGCTGCCACCAGCTCAGGTGCATCCATTGAGAACACCTGATTGTGGCAACTCTCCTGCCCCGTACCAGCTGAATGTATAGTTAGGTGAAGCTGTGAATAGTGAGGGGGGGGGGTCTCCCTCAACCAGCTGTGAACTCGACTCCTGCTGATGGGGGTGGCCTTGGTCCTCCCAATTCACTTACTCTGTTCAATAAAGGTACCTCTTTTCCAATTAAATGGTGGTGGAGTGAGGAAGAGGATGCAGGCAGCTGAGGCACCTGAGCACACATCCTTCGTTTTACTCAAGCAGGGTTGGACTATTGACTCTGAGAGGAGACCTTGGACCCTAAGGTAGGAAAGGCCAGGCTAGAGAGCTCACAGATAAGGGCAGCATTCTTATTGTGGTAGAAATTCTGAAGGGACCCCAGGTGATCCCTGGGGATAAGACCAGTTCTACTGCTGTGCCTGGGTCCCTGGGCTTTGTTCATCTGGAAGGCTTGGGTCCATTACATGTGGTTCTAAGAGGGCTGACTCTCCCTGAGTTGGGGGTCTCTGCCACTGTCAACTCCCAAGTCAATGAATGCCCATAGAAGAAACGTTGTAATCCAGACCAGGTTCAAGTGAAGATTGATTTTATTACAGTGCCTAGAGGCAAAAACAATGCAGTGGGACACCCGTTAAGTACAGAGCTCACTACAGGAAGAAGCAGAGCTGTGCCAAGTTAGAGATGAAGGCCCAGAGGGAGGAATGCTGTGTGGTACTGGACTTATAAATGGAGTAGAGGGTGGGGTGGGAGGAACAGAGGAATGAGGGAGTTTTAGTCTCTACCAGTGGTATAGCATAAAGACATGAGAGCCAGTTCCTGCTAGTTAGCAGGGTACCTCCCAGATCTGTGTGTGGGGATATATTGTCCTAATCTCTACAGTTTATTGGTCAGTTCCTGGGCAAGAGCCACAGGGAGACTAGGTCCACAGCAGCATGCCCTCAATCCAAATGGCCTGGACCACCAAAATGACATCAGGCTCCGACACAATGTCACCTGTCCCACACCCAGTTGCAGGAAAACACTTAAGTCAGTGGGTATCTGTGCAGGGAGCAAGGGGCCTGTTGGAGCCAGAGCCAGTGTCTGTCCCTCTGGTGGCTCAAAGTAGGGATATGTATTCATGCTGGGTGCTGGGTACTCTGCCACCCAGCACTGTGTTGGGCACACGCCCCAAACAACGCTTTTGTCTCCCAGCACTCAGGTATGTAGATCAGGTCACAGGACAGATATTTATTAAATATGGCCTGTCAGCAGGAATCCATGCAGTAGCATGGCCCAAGTGCACCAAGCTGTGGCCGCCTGGGTGGGCAGGCAGGCAAGAACACGCAAGTGTTAAAAGAGTGTTTTCTTCCAAATCAGGGATTATGTGCCAGCTTTGCTACTATCACCCTGAAGTGTCCTAGAGGGCCCTTCTCCCCACTCCACCCCCAGGGTCCAAGGGAATGAGGCACAGCACCTATAGGCCCAGCAGAAGAGCACCAACACTGAATGAGGAGGAGAAGGGGAGGAGTCACCAGCACCATCTTCGGGGCTCCAGTCAGGGTGGGTTAGACCTGATACACAGGATTCCTTAAGGGGACCCCCTGCCTGGGGCTGAGTGCAGAGATAGGCCTGATGCTTTTAGGCCCTCCCTTCCCAACTAGAAGCCGAGGCTCAGGCTTCTGAGTCAGATCTAGGTCAAAACCAGGGTAGGCTTATAAGCAAGCCCAGGAAGTCCTGCTCTTGCTGTGCCCTGGCCAGTCTGTGGCTACATCTAACACATCTGCCCCCAGGCTAAAGATGCCAATTTTGGGGGTTGAGGATGCCTAGCTAGGAGCATCCACAGCAGCTAGAGGAGCAGTGGCAAGCTGGAGCTGACCAGAGGACACAGTGGGCCATGTTTCCTGCAGGGTCCCCAGCCCCAGGGCAGGTAACCATTTTTGTGCCTTCAAATAAATAATTTTCCCCCTTCACTTTCATTTTTAAGTTCATTGTGCATTATACAATCTAAAAATAAATGCAGTCAAGTCTATGAAATTTATAAATTTTCATCACATCTCTATAAAATACTGTCACCCATCAGTGTGACTCTCTCCTATACACAAAACACCAAGGAACCCACGGCGGGCCTGCTCCATGTCACCCAGCCAGCTTGCCACAAGTCAGAAAAAGCAAAGGAATACAAAAGTAAATGCACTTGTCAAACAAGCCAAACCAGCCTCCAGGAATCAAGTACAAAGCCATGTGTGCAGCACCACTCAGAATAGCTGGAAATGCTGCCTGCTGCACCAAACCAAGGTCCCAGTCCACCCCAGCACCTGCCAGCCCTGCTCATATGCCAAAGGCACAGCCCTAGCTAGCCAGTTACCAGCTGGAGCATTCACAGTGACGGGGCAAGGTTGACAGAGGGGTAAGGGTGGGAGGATGGGGAGGTCTGAAGGTAAGCTCTGGCATCCTCTGAAGGACCCTATGAAAAAACCCCAGAGTTGGGCATGCCTTTGGTACAGTTAACAAGCAGCCGGCGCTTCTGAGAACTGGTTTTGGCGTTGGTCAATGTCCAGGGCAGCACCAAGGTGGAGGCTGGTGCGGGCCTGGTGGTGAGATAGCACCGGAGCAGGCAGGCAGTCGGCGTCTCCGCTGGTGGGCCAGCCCTGCAAGTTCGAGTCTTTATATAGATTCTCTCTTATATAGACATTTCTCAATAGGTTGCCTTTAACGACTTAGATGGAATAAAATAAGTCAGAATTGTTTATACTTTTAAAAAAATGATAAATACTTTATCTAAAACTATCGACAGTACAAACTGGACCAGCCCCAGCACCTCCTGCGGGTGCCACCGATTCACAGTGGAGCTCCCGTCCTCTCCTGTCTCCGCCCTCCGGGTGGAGCCCAGCAAGCTGGCAGCACCAGGCAGCAGGCGTTGGTCCACACCGTCCTTGCATAGGTCGCACGGTTGAGGTAGAAGTCCTAGTTACCTGCAGGGGCATAGGGAGAGGGAGAGCAGCCGCTTAGCAGCCCGCTGGAGGGGCCCAGCACTCACTCAGGTAGAATAAAGATCTACAAACACACCCAGGCAGACAGAGTGAAGGCAGGGACAGGACAGACAAGTATTGCCTGCTAGCAAACACTGCCTGGAGCCACTGCAGCCAGCCGCTGGCCTACTTCCACCAGTCACCCTCTGAGAACACAAAAGTAGGGTAGCTACAGCCTGTCTAGAGGCTGTTACCACCCCTATGACCACACTTCTGTCTAGAAGTTTACAGCTACCCAAGAAAAGGACATCATGGCCTTAGCCCCTGGACTTTCCGCCATGGATGCCTCACTTGGAAGGCACAACCTCATTAAAACATTTCCTTCCCTGAATAATAAGCCAGGCAAGCTGCCCTCAGGCCTTTTTATGTTCTCACCCAAGGAAGTGCACATTGTTCTCACTTACAACCCTAGACCCCCAAGCAACCTTAGCAAGCTCTTCCCCACTTCCTAGTCAAGCAGCCTTAGACTTGGCCCATTCAGGCCAGAGTGTGGTGACCTCTTAGGTTGTCCACCCCTGCCCCCCAAAGCTGGCTGAATTCCCCACCCCCCATTCTCAGCCTACTGTATAACAAGGGCACTGCATGCTTAGAACTTTTTTTTTTTTGAACCAGTTTTGGAGCTCATGCTTTTGCTCAACTTCTTCACTCGAGGCTGGAGCTCTACCACTTGACCTCATCTCCACTTCCAGCTTTTAGCTACTTAATTGGAGCTAGGAGTCCTGAGAAGTTTTCTGCCCCAGTTGGCTTCAAACACTGATCCTCAGACCTCAGCCTCTTAAGAAGCTAGGATTATAGGCATAAAGCTCTGGAACTCTCAACACGCTATGAAGTTTCAAGTGCTTGAGGACCCAGGCCTATGAGTGTTCATCACACAGTAGCTCTGCCAATGGCACGGCCATGAGGCTACACGAGCCCTGACTGCTCACAATGTGTCTGGCCTACCAGCGGCTGTCCTTTATGTGCTAGCTAGAGTTGTCACGCAGAGCTTGCATCCTCTGGACTCAGGAGGCCCATACCCAAATGCTCAAGTCTGTGACCCTGAGGGCTTCCCTGAGCCTCCCTTTCCCAGCTCTACCCCTTTGGAAAGACGGGCACAGCAGCTTGAACCCCAGAGACCTCTACCAAGCCTTGCCAGGCTGTCTTCTGGGCAAAAGGAAGGATGGTTTGCTTTCTCGAGGGAACCACCTCGTGTGGCTCTAGCCTTACCTTACAGAATATGAACTGCTAGCTAAGCAAGGTCTTTATCGGGGCTTAACCCCCGAAAGGTGCGCGGCATAGGGAGGCGGCATGCCAAGGGAAACCCATACAGCAGATGGACCCACAGAGCTGGCCTGCGGGACGGCGGGTGCTGTCTGTGCCAGGGCCAGCCGGGGCAGAGGCTGGTGGTGCACGGTGAATGAGGGATGGGAGACCTTGTGTGGGAGGGAGGCGAGCTTGACAGACAGAGTTGCGTTAGCAGGCTGCAGAGAGGCGGCAGAGGAGGGGGCTAAGAAAGTTTTGTTAGATGGGAGGGAAGCAAGGTTCTGCAGGAGCACGGGTTCAGAGTTAGAGGCCAGCAGCGCAGGGGGAGGAGGCAAGGTGACGTTAGGTGGAGGGGGGGCATGGAGGACAGGTGGCCCCGCAGGGGACCGGCCCAGGTGCTGAGGAGGAAGCAGGGGAGGCAGGGGCGGAGGGGGCGGCCGAGTCTCCACGGAGGCCGCGGCCTGAAAGGAAGAGGCCGAGGTGCTGGCCACTGCCTGCAGCGGGCTCAGGCCCAGCTTGGCGCTGCTACACACAGCCCCACTGCTGACACTGACTCCAAATGGATGAGCAGAGGCGGAGGGCACCGTGTGGCTAAAGATACCTGCAAACAGGAGAGAAAACTCAGCTTCAACAGGCGGGCATGGGCTAGGCGAGCGAAGAAAAGGCACAGTCACAAAACAGGAAAAAGCAGAATGACAGCGGTGGCTCCGAGTTATATGTGCAGGCACAAGCGGCAAGCAGTGGGGCTCAGCACAGGACACTTACCTGCGCCAGGCTGAGGCCCCGCCCCTAGGGCACACCTGCCCGACTCCGCCCTGCCAGAAGCACAGCCAAGGCCCAGAGTGCAGCCCACCTGGCCCGGGCTACACTCTGTCCTGCATCTGCACTGGCGCTGTCAGGGTTCCCTTGCCCAATGCCAGCTCCCATGGCCTTGCCACAGGGCACATGGGTTCAAACAGGCGAGACCCAGGCAAAATGACTGCCTTAATTATATGCACCGTGGTCTTCTGGAAATGAGAGGCACGTGTTATAAGACAACTTGAATAGGCTAACAGTCCCAGCCTCACAACAATCGCCTACTTGGCCGTGGCGACAAGGGTACAGGGGACTGTGTGGCTTGGCCTCACCCCCTCTAGAGGGTTGTGTAAGGAACCAGTGAAGCAGCCTGTGATGAACTGAGTGCTCCTGGGAGGCACCACCTGTCTGGAAACCAGAGCCCCCTTCCCTTTGGAAGCTGGACTACCTCTGCCTACCTCCGACAGTTCCACCAGCCACCCCGGAGGAGAAGCTGCCCATGGCGTGGGAGTTGGTCAGTCTGGTTGCAGCAGATGACACATGTACCAGGCCTGCAGCGGCCGGCACAGAACTGAACAAGGACTGCAGCACAGATGAGCCGGCCACTGAGCTGAGATTGGCCTGCAGGGACATAGGGCCCAGGGTGAACTGCGGCCCGGGCGTGAAGGTGCTCAGGAAAGGGCGGTGTGTCTGAGTGGTGGGGGCTGTGCTGCCTGCAGAGGATGCCACTGTGGGGAGGCCAGAGCCACCAAGAAGGCCACTGGGAGGCACCGCCGCAGCAGAGATGAAAAGGTTGTGGCCACTCTTGAAGTCAATGTCACGGTCCCGGCCCTTGTTAGCCCTGCTGCTGTGTGGCAGAGCTGTTTTGTCCGTGGGCCCGCACAGGGGCAGGCCCAGCTCTCCCACCTCCTTGCCAGCACTGCTCTCACCCTTCAGGCCACCCAGGCCTTCCAGCTGCCGCTTGCTGAGGAAGGGATTGGCTTCCGAGGTGCCCTCCTTGCCCCGCTGTGAAGGAAAGCTAAGTGGGGTGCTCAGGCTGGCTGCCTCAGGGACCTTGTGGGAAAGGGAAGCACCGTCATTGAAGCCGTGTAAACTGAGGTCTGCAGCCAGGCCCCCACTGAAGGCCAGGCCATTGGGGGGGTTGGCACCTGGACTGAGTCCGTCAGCACCCAAAAGGGTGCTGGAAAAGCTTTTCCTTGGATGTGCAGTGAGCTTGGCCTCAGCCGCCGAGGCTTCTTCCAGGGCTGGCCGGAACGAAAACAATGAGTTCTGGCTCAGGGCAGAGCTAGCTTGCAGTGGGCTGTCTGTGGACTTGGCCAGGCCGATGTCGGAGATGGGTGAAAAGGTGGATTTCCACTTGCTACTGTTGATGGGCTCACTTGCAGGTGCCAGTTTCCTCCCCACCAAGCTGCCACCTGACAGACAGGAAAGGCAGAAAGGTGAAGCCACTGTGCTTGCCCAGATAGTTCTTGATGCTGAGCACAAGATCTGGGACCCAGTGCTCCTGCTATTCACACCACAGGTGTGCACGATGTGGAGACAGGACTGAGGTGGATGGGAGACAGAGAGGTGGGCGGCATGAGACCACTCAGAAAGGGCTTGTCCACCCCATGAAGGGAGCTCAGAGCCCACCTTCCCCAGGAAGCAAGTACAGACTATCCCAGGCTGATATAAACACATCTGGGTCCCAGACACATTGTACTCACCATTATCCAAGGTCTTCGGGGGAGACTTGCTTTCTAAGGAGATTGTTGCAATTTTTCTCTCAATTCTGTTAAGGAAAGACAACAGCATCAGTGTATCCTAACAGGGCTACTAACACTGAACTGAGGGAGGTCAGGAAGCAATGGACACAAAGCCATTTTCAGGATCCCTATAGGAGGACACTTGAACACCGCCAGGTGAGACCTGGCAACCAGTAGAATCCAAGCTCAGTCTCATCTTTCTATAGAGACAACAATTCCTCTGCTGAGCTACAGCAGGTGAACAGGATCCATTTTCCTAATGCACCAAGAAGCAGGTAGGGCCTGAGTAGGGCCGCTTGTGTCCCAAGCCCTTTCTCAGCCTGGAGCCCAGTGTGGCACAAGATGGCACTGGACCAGGCCATCACATTCTTCAGCCAGCATCACATTCTTCAGCCATTTACTGTGTGGGTCAATGCCTATCACACATTTCTAGGGTCACTGTGTGCTCCAAGGACACAGAAAAAAACCCCCAAAGGTCCTAAAGCTACTAAAGACTATTCTCCAATGCCAGTATGGCACACCCAAGGATGAAAGTTTTAACACAATTTATATATATGAAAGAGGAACACACAAAATAATTTGGATATGACACCAAAGATAGTTAAAGAGAAAAAACAGGACGGGAGGGAAATGGGTGAAAATGAAGGAGATATAAATAACATTGTTCACAAAGAAATGTACTAAGCAGGTGTCATGCATGTAAGCCTAGTTACTCAGGAGGCTGAGATCTGAGGATCCCAGTTTAACACCAGCCTGGGCAGGAAAGTTGGTGAGACTCTTTTTTTTTTTGCCAGTCATGGGGCCTGAACTCTGGGCCTGGGCGCTGTCCCTCAGCTCTTCAGCTCAAGGCTAGCACTCTACCACTTGAGCCACA